CCTGCGAGCGTGGCTCTGGGATGTGTTTACAGGCCTGTGGTTACTCACAGCGGGGATTGTAAAATGACTTTTTCCCTTTCTGCAAATGACTGGCTTATGTACTCCAGCTAAACTTGAACTTGCTGAGATTTGCAGTGCAGCTGTGTGCTAATGGATGTAGAGTACCAAACCAAAATTATATAATAAATTCAGAAAAAAGCTGTGAAATAAACTTCAGCTACCTCTGCATCAGAATTATTTTCACTGTGGGAAAGCTCAGGTAATCATGAAAATATAAAAATATATATAAGGAGCTCTGTTTAATAGCTGCTAGTTTTTATTTTCGTAGAAAAGAGACATAATTAGTGTGCAGAGAGTGTCATATTATTTTAAATGTTTAAAAGAAAAACATTCAGGTTAATAACAGCTGGTCAGTGGTTTGGTAAGTGGACTGGTGCTTATATAGTCCTTTTCTACTCTATTACAGCACTCAGAGCATTCACACACACGTTCATACAAGTGCATTTTTTACGTCTAATGCTTTTAATCTAACATTCACACACTCACACTCTGATATCAGGGGCAATCTGATCAGCAGTTTGGCCAAGGATGCTTTAAAATGCATTCTGGTGGAGCCAGGAATCGAACCACTGACCTTCTGATTAGTAGGCGATGCACTCTACCTCCTAAGTGACACTTGAGACCCCAAGATTAACTCCATCACTGACTCCACCATCTCAACAGCCAGAACGGCCCACTGTGTAGGCTGCAACTGTCTTCAAAGCGGCTTTGGTGAATCAAAACTGCCGTTTGTATGCTATCAATTCGGGTCAAGTTGGATTTTACATGCAATCAGTTTAATAATCAACTGTGGAAATTGTTGCATACTTATAAATTCACCTTAACTACTTACATTCCAGCCAGCACCCACAGATTTGAAACTCCAGGGTTTTCTCCACAATTAGTGATGTAACTGTTGCACGATGGGGATTTAACCATCCTGCAACACAGGCTTTCAGCAATGTTGCTTTTCGGCAATTTTTTGCAAACATTGGGGTTGTTGGACACTCAAACGTTGTGGAATCAGCGGTCGATGCAACTTGGTCACTTGCAAAAATATTTTCGGGGCTGCTATCCTGTTTTTACTCTGGTATGACTGAGCGATTAGTTCTGCAGCAGAATCATTGGTGCTGATGCTTCTCTATCCTTGTATTTTCTCATTGCAGTGATCCTGTTCTGTATGGCTGCGTTCATTTTCCCAATTGGATTCTACATCAACGAGGTTGGAGGACAGCCATATAAGCTGCCCAACAACACAGTGGTGGGCTCCTCCTACGTACTCTTCATTCTGTCAATATTCTTCACCATAGTGGGACTGCTGTTTGCCGGGAAGGTGTGCCTGCCCGGCTGACAAACTCACGTTCTCTTTTTAAACGCATAAAAAACCGCTACCACTGGAAGCCAACGTCGTTAGAACGAACTCTCCTGCGGCAGAGCTGGAAGCGTCGCTGAAAGCTGAGAAGTACTTGTCTTTCCCTCGCCGATGAATTGTCGCAACCGGAGCCAAAACCGCTGCAGTCCATCTGTGCATGTGTTTGTTCAGAGGCCGAGCAGGTGCAAGGAGCTCTGAAACGGCCCTCCTTGTTTTCCTTCGTGAACAAGAAGCAGGGAAGTGAACAGAAAACAGATTATAAAATGGCAAAAGTGACATGTGAGCTTTCGAGGAATTTAAGGGGGCATTGTGAACGTCTGAGCTGTCATCCTAAAAATTCACGACAGGCGACGGAGAGCTGTTGTTCTTCTCATCTGAACCATCAGGGACGATTTGCACATGTCAGGCCTGATAGCAGTCTGAGGCCCTGATATTGGCCAGTCAACCTCTGTATAATGTCTGTTCTTCCCCCAAACACTGCTACAAAATAATATAAGCTGCATTACTTTTATTTATATGATAGATTTGGAAGTGTATGTTTTAAAAGGCCAGCTTCTCTGCCAGTGCTATGTCAAGTGGATCATATTGCCTTGAGGATGGTTTACTGCAATGGAATAAATATAAAGTTCATGATACAAGAAGTCATAAAAATGCTATTTCTGAGTGGAATGTAAAATGGGCTATTAGCAACAGCTGCCCAAAGTTTGTAATGCTTGAGTCTGTGAAATGTGTCCGCACTGAAGGAAGAGGAGCTGTTGAAAGATGTCAGAGTTTTAAGCTTTTAACATTGTGAATAATCAGTGAGGAAAAGGTCAAGCCTGTTGTGGTTCTCTGTTAGTTTTACTAATCTTATTGATGTAGTAAACTGATTTTTCATTTTTTTTTTTTTAAAGAATATTTTATGGATTAAACAGTGCAAAGAATGATAGAATCATCGACTTGTTTTATTCATCTATAATGCTGATGCCTGTGTGTGTGTCTGTGCCTTTTTTTTTTCCAAATCACTGATGTTTGTAATTGTGCATGGAAGGTGTCATCGCATTAAAATTATGACAAGGGAATACCCATTCCTTTTATTTTTCATGCTTTTTCTCAAAATAATGCTGTGTGCATCTATGATGTTTGAACCACACACACAGTGTCTGCAGTAAGAGCAATCAAGGTCACACTTGAAGTTGTAGTGTGTGTTTATTGTCCTCAATGTCAACCATTACCATACTAAATATCTACACTCAACACTTTGTTAGGTACACTCTCATTAAACAGCTGATTAATCTAGCCAATCATGTGGGAGCAATTCTGTGCACATATAGGTGTCGTTCAGGCAGACTGCTTCAAGATGGTGAACACTAACTCACAAATAACCAGTCATTACAGTCAAGATATGAAGAACAGCTCAATTCAGTTCTGTTCTATTCATATGCTGCTAATTCACTGTAATAGTCCCCTCAATGTATATTTATTGTAAGATAAAGACCCTAAAATATTAGAGAGAAACCCCAGTTAGCATTTAGCCTGAAGGCAGCACATCACATATGAAGCACAACCAGAGGAGCGTTTATCTTTTTCCTTGGGACTCCCTTTGAGCAACTCAGTGACAGTGGGAAGGTAAAACTCCTTGGCAGGAAGAAACCTCCGGGGGAACCAAGCTCAGGGAGGGGCAGCGATCTGCCGTGACCGGTTGGGGGGGTGACAGAAGACAGCCAGAGTTCAATAATTGCTCATGATTAAATACAAAGTGGTGTAAAAAGACACAAAGTAAAAAGAGGTGAGTGAAGAAATAATGCTAAGTGCATTACGCTGAGCACCCCTCAGCAGCCAAGGCCTATTGCTGCATAACTAACAGAGGATTCAGGTTCACCTGATTTAGGCCTAACGAATCAACATCATCAAAAAAAAAAAGTTTTAGGTCTAATCTTAAAAATAGAAAGTGTTTTTATCCCAAATCCAAACTGGGAGCTGGTTTCATGGAAGAGGGTCCCTTTCTACTTCTAAATATCCTTGGGACTACAACTAAGCCTGCAGTGTGAGAGCAAAGTGCTCTGTTCAGATAATAAGGTACTATGAGGTATTTAACATTTAATCAATAAAGATTTTGTATGTTTGGAGAAAGATTTTTAAAAATCTGAATTTAACAGGGAACCAGAAACAGAGAGGCTTACCATGGTAACGTGGAAACCTTTCGAGTTCCAGTTAGTCTTCTTGCAGGAGTGTTCTGGATGAAATGAAGACTTTTCAGGGAGCTTTTAGAGTAACTAGATAATAATGATTTACAATAGTCAAGCCTTAAAGTAACAAATGCATCATCTAGTTTTTCAGCATCACTTTGAGACAATAACTTTGTCGAACCTCAAAGCAAATGAGCAGAAAATTGAGGCTACATTTCACACAGGCTCACAAAAATTGCACAGTAGAGGACTGGAAAAAGTAACTTGGTCTGTTTAGTCTCAGTTTCTGCTGCGACACTCAGATTGCAAGGTAAGAATTTGGTGTAAACAGCATAAAAAGCATGGATTCATCTCGACCTGAATAGACACTTAAGTCTAGAATCCTTCAGTATACAGAGGAGTTTGTGATTGTGTTGATACTGCGAGGTGTGCAGCTTTTGTGGGTAAAAACAAGCCCAAACGATCACATCTCTAATGCTCACCAGGCTTAATCGTTAGTATGAGGTGTTTGGCTGATATAGTGTGTTTGGTTTCCACCAAACATCTCCATCCTTGTCTTCTTTGTCCAAAGGACATGCTTCCAGAAGTCTTGTAGTTTGTTCACATGCAACTCTACAAACCTAAATTGCGATGCTATGTTCTTCTGCCAATCCTTTAAAAAAAACAAACAAACATCAGTACTTGTTCAGTATTTTTATAATTGTGCTGTTATAAACGTGAACATTTGACATGCTAACCGAGGCCTGTAGAGTCTGAGATATCGCTCAGGTTTTTTTTTTTCTATAAGCATTGAATGGTCTGATGCCCTTTTGCTGGGACATTCATTCTTGTGAAGATTGTGGAATCGTTTTAACAAATACTCAAATGCTCCAGACCAGCAAACTGCCAAAACATCTGCTTTTATAGAGATGCTGACACTGATGATAAATTAATCAAGTGGATTTGAGCACCAGCGCCTGGCTGCTACCGTATTAATTTGAATTTAAGAGGTAATGTTGTACCTGTTCATTGTCCATATGACTGTTTCTTTCTTTCTGTACTTTCTTTTCCACATGACTGTAGTTTTTGAGCCTCTTTGAACCACTTCACAATTGTTCTATTGGCTGGCAATAAAATTAAAAATAAAAGGAAAGAGATTTAATTATTTTTTGCTCATAATTTCATTAATGTGATGTGTTCTAATGACAATGGAAAATTAAAGTACAAAATTATGATAATTAATTTACACTTATTAGAAGGACTGACATACTTGTGTTACCTTTCTCTGGCCCCTTTTTGATTTTTTGGGTTAATATATATATATATATATATATATATATATATATATATATATATTAACATATATATTAACAAACAAAGCGACTCATATGAGATAAGTTAAAGAAACATTATATTATAGTGAATTGAAAGCTTGTCAGTTTAGTTTGGGACAACAGTATGATCAACAGATACACTCCGTGTATGAGGTGCAAATTCAACCCCCACCACAAGAGGGCGTCATTGGTCAAATGTAATTGACAGTATAAATCCGCCTCCTTACTTGGACCTCATCGTCAGAAAGTCAGAACTGCCCAAACTGAAGGAAAATAGATCCATAAAACAGTTCGCTCCACATCAATTTTTATGATAGCCTTTGGAGTCTGTGTGAAGGTAGAATCACACCGCATCGTCATCCTTTCCTTTCTCTAGTATTCACACACAGTTCAGTTCTCATCTAGAACACCATAGGCCCACTGCACTGATTATGTTAGGCCATGATGGGACTGGTGTGCTGGAGCTTGGCCATTTGTGCAGCTGTAAGCAACAGTACTCCAGTGAGGAGCTCCAGGCCGTAGGAGAGCCAGGCTAGACCGAAGGACCAGCCGAAAGACGTGTGAATGTAGGCCAGACCCTCCTGACCCACCAGCCTCTCAGTCTCAGCCAGTGCCTGGTTCGAGTAAATGATGTAGAGACTGGCGCCGCACATAGTCAGCAGACCTGGAGATTCACACATATACACACAGGAAGAGGCAAGTAAGTTCAGGGTCTTCAGATTCAAAGCAGTCAAAACTGGTATATTTAAAGTATATAGTTAGAGCTGGATCAGGGAACTCTGAATCCTCCCTTTGTTTTGGCTGCTGGGGGCTTCCCATGCTGCAGTAAGTGTTTCTTCACTCACCTCTTTTCACAATATGTGGCTTTACACCACTCTGCATTTATTCATTATAGTTATTATTAATTTCTGACTCTCTTTCACAGAATGTATTTTGTCCCATCTTCCTCCCCTCACCCCCAACTGGTCGTGGCAGTTGGCTGCTCCTCCCTGAGCCTGGTTCTGCTGAAAGTTTCTTCCTGTTTAAAGGGAGTTTTTTCTTCGCACTATTGCCATGTGCTTGCTCATAGAGGGTCTGATTGTTGACATTTTCTCTGTATTATTTTAGGGTCTTTACATTACAGTATAAAATACTTTGAGGTAACTGTAGTTGTGATTTGTATATTTATAAATAAAACTGCATTGAATTGAAAATTGAATCAGCTGAAAATAGTTTTTTAGTCCTAACACTACTTCTTTTGTCCCCCACTTAAACTGGAAACACTACACACCGTTCTCAGACATGCTGAATTTTTGGCTAATAGCTCTTTCAGAATCACCTCGTCGGTGCAAAAATACTATTTTATGTCTGTCAGAGAGTGTTATCGTTGGCATTTTTTTGTAGATTGACTAAAGTAATGGGAACAAATTACATTCAACTGGTTTTGAAAAAGATTGCTCAAAACCATTTTTTGCTTCTTAGAAGCAAAAAAATAACTTAGATGAATGAGGGGTGGTTACTTTTTGTCCAGATTTAGTGTCACATTCACTTAACATTTTCTCCAACAAAATGTTTTCATCAGTGTGGCCAATTATGACATGAAAAATGATTGCTTATTACTGAGAGGCCTTTTTGTCTAAATCGTCATACTGATTAGTTTTATGAGTTTTATTCTGAGCTGATAATAAATTCCCAATTTCTCTGCCCTTATTATAAAAGTTATGTTAACATCTAACTGACATTTCAGTGCTTGTAAAGAGCTCAGTCTCTGCAAAGCAAATAGGAGCTGTGATATCGACTGTATGAATTAGGAAATGAAACAGAAAGTTCAGACGTAGCAGGAGGAGAGGAGACAGATTAAACCCAGACTTTTAGCTCAATAGATAACCTGGGATTTAAGTTGGCTTCCTTTATGGAACTGAAAGCTTTGCATTTTCCTCGATCTCAAGTTTAACAAACTCAGAGTTTTCACCAAACCTGCATCCTGTATCAGGGTTCTGGGCGAGATAGATAAAGGAAATCCTTATTTGGATCTGCTATTAGTTTGGTTCCAGGTTTAGAGGTGACAATAAATTATATACCCTGTTGAGGAGGATAGCATTTTAGAAGCAAACACCTGCACAAGCTGGCATCGTACTCCAGCAATTCTGAAGCGGAAATGTGTTCTAGTCAGAGCTCTGTGCTGAGAGCTGAGAACGGTAACTCATGAAGCTGCCCAGAATCTCATATTATGAGAGACAGGAACAGCACTGACGCATGGATTGTCTGTTATTCTACTCATCAGAGACTAGACTGAGACACACACACCCACACACACACACACACACTGTTCCACAGTGTTGCTATTGGAAACCCTTTTAATTCTGACAGCTTGCTACTGGTTTTAAGGGGATGCAAATGAAGCTACCCAGGGCGGGACTAATAAAGATGTTATTACAATTACACCCCAAGGTGCAACAAACTAGGAATATGATGAGGAAACCGCATCTGACGCCTCATTTTTATGCACTTTGCCAAGAAACAAATAGAGAGACAGGAAATGATTGAATTGCAGCGCATATAGGAAAGACAACTTTTACCATAATAGAGATAAGGAAGTCAAGTAATGGAATAATTTTTCATCAGGTGTGTAATCAGTTTTAATGATTGAGCAGACAGCTAAAAGAATAAATAAAAAAATAGAAATAAAGAAATCAAATCAAAGATATATTTTATTCAGTGTAAAAACTATCGCTTTTCATTATATCCTGTAACAGGACGTGAGTGTCACTGAAGTTTAGATTCGATTTAGTTAGAATAGGCATCTTAATGTCAAGTTGGTTCGCTTCTTTTGTTCGATATCTTAAGAGATTAATAGACTGTCTTGAATTTTTTTTTTTTTTTTTTTACAGACATTAGACCAAATATTCACCAACTGATTGTGCAAAAATGAGAGTGCCTACGTAATAACACTAGTATCTGCTCAAATAACCACTTTTATTTGCCATCTTACAAATCGGGGGATTTATTGAAAAGAAACAGCTACTAAAGTCTTGAGGGACTTTTCATTTCTTTAGAGATTGCTACAAAAATGGTAAAATAGTTGCAGAGATGTATCGAAACATCTGCAAAGACATATAGAAATGCAGTAAATAAAGCAAAAACAGAGTTGGTACAATTCTAATGAGTTGAAATGAAAGTCAATATTTGATACGATCACTTCAACATAACCCTTAAGCAGCTTTTTGCCCCTTGAAAGGCTTCTAGGAGTGATCCTTAAAGCTCTTTCTGAACTAAGAAGTTTCATTAATGTTTCAGGCCTACTGATTGAATGAACACATGGAAACTATTGACATTTGCTGGGGTGTTTGGGATTATTGTCATGCTGAAAAATGAACCCATTTCTAATTAAGATGTTTTCCAGATGGTGGATCAAAAGCTGATGATACATTTTTGCATTTAGAATTCCATCAGTTTTAAAAAGATCCTGAACACGACTAGCTGAAATGCAGCTCCAAACCATCATGTTTTACAGATCGCTATGGACACTCACTGTTGTACCTCTATCCTGACCTCCACCAAACAGATTGATGATTTTAACCAATGGCTGAAATTCATCCCAACCGTTTTTCTTGTTTTTCTAACTTAAGAATGATTTCTTGACAGCCACCCTTACATTGAGCTCATTTCTGATGAGGCTTCATCAAGGGTCAGATACAAACCTCCACTTGTCCAGTTTTTGAATTTTTTAAGGACACACTGCAAACCACGCTGAGATAGGCCAAGTTTTTAGCTAATAGCTCTCTGTGAATCACAAAAATACCACAAACTGCATTTCCTTCTCCATTTTTCATTGGTTCAGCTAGATTTAACAGAAACTGGAACATAAGTTTCTTGTTAAATTGTTGTTTATTTGTAGCCACAACACTGTCTCAGTTAAGTATGTTTTTATGCTTGAATGATTCATAGATCAGTGTTATGTGGCTTAACAGATAAAAAACATTCCCCTGAAATTTTGAAGTTACGAGGATCGGACTGAAAATGAGTGAAAAAGCTGTCAATGTCCAAAGAAAAACTTTGAAAGGCCTTCAGAAAGCCTCAAGAACTGTTGCTCACGACCACTTTTTAAAAAAATGACAAGAAAGTGTGAATGCTTGGATGCAAAATATTAAGAGTGGGTCAAGACTTACTACAGAAATGTTTCTGTTTTTAACCCCTCTTCTGCTGCTGAAGCATTTGTTTTAATGTCACATTCAGGCACTGCAAATCAGACAGCAACAGAATGCCATTCATAGTTATTTACTCATAAACACGGTTTGTATCCAGCACTGAAGCGCCGTTGCCATGGGGGTGTGTGTGCTCAGTCTGGAACAATGTTAAAGTGGGCGGTTAATGTAAACATCTGCACGAATGCCAAGGCCCGAGGCTTCTCAGGAGAACGCTGCACTGAGATAACCAATATTAGCCGTTGGTAATTTTAATTTTGGTTGTGTTGTGCAAATGAACAATTAAAGACTTCATCCTGTAATATAGCAAAACTCTTGTTGTCTTCCTCATCACACTACGTTACAATCGTGTTCATAAATGCACTGCACGCTTACTAATGGGCTAACTCTAAAAATACTCCGACATTAAAAGTTAATTAAATGCTTACAACTAAGAGCAGCAGAGCGCCCAACGACAGAGCAGAGTGGCAAAATCGAGAGAGATTAAGAAATGCCCGGCTCGGAGGCTGAGGTCTTTTAAAAAGTCCAACAGTCAACAAGTTCACAAGATGACTCCAATCTAATTCAAGACTTTATTTTATTCCACACTTAACCATGTGCTGCTTGTTAAAGTGAGACTATGAAGAGTCTGTTTAAGTATGTGTTTGTCTATCACAAGGTCCCATTTATGGAGGTCATAAGGCGTTGGCAGAAGAGCGCCCAGGAGATCCAGAAGCTCAGGCGCTAGGTTTATGCAGACAAGAATAACTTAATTACTGGAAATAGCTAGATTAAGAGAATGGCATTAACAGTAATCTAACTATTTCACATTTACAGCTTTTTGAGCTACTAAACTAATAATCACTGTAGGTGCATGATACATGACATCTTAACACTTTCTGTCTTAGTTGTGACCTGAATGCCACTTTTATTACAGTTTCCTGTTTTTTAGTTTTTCAGTTTTTTCTGTTATCGCCCGGCACAGATTCAATACACACCAAAAAGAAACAGCTCTGTGGTCTGTAACTGTTTAATTCAAAAGTCAAATGAGTAATTCAGCTCTAACTAAGCTATTCTTACTCAGATCATGTTCTGAATTTGGATCAGATAACCAGGTTCAACATTTTACATGGCGGCTGAAACATTTGGAATATTATCTTCGTCTTGTTTGTCTCTTTCACAACTGGGGTGTCTTAACACATGCCAGTTTGCTCCGGCCATCTTTTTGAGGCAAACGGTCCTCACTGATTAATGATGCGATGAGAACATATCAATTTCAGCAAACCCACTGAAGTTGAATTATAAAGCTTTAAAATTTAAGATGTGCTGAATTTGAAGCAGGAACAGTAGTTTAGGGGAGCAAAATCGAAAGATGTGTGCTAAAAGAGGCAGCCTGACCTTTAATCTGTGTAATTCATACAGTCATTGGCCATTTTGTTAGGTAAGCCTCTTCAAATGCTTGTTAGCGGAGGAGTCGGTTGATTGAGGGGCTGATGAAGAGGATGCAAAAGACCCACAGTAAGCAGAGAAGACCTAATTATCTGGTCATGTAACAGCAACCTGATGCACACTGCATGGAGACATGGTCAAGACGACCTGCTGAAGTTCAAGCTGAGCATCAGAAAGGTGATTTAAGTCACTTTGAATGTGGCATAGTTGTTGTTGCCAGAGCAGCTGGTTCAGAAAACTGCTGATCTGCTGGGATTTTCATTCACAACCATCTCCAAGGTTTACAGAGATTGTATCAGTGGTTCAGGCTGCTGCTGTTGGTGTAATGTTGTCTGGATCATTTTTTGTTTTTGGCATGATCACAGTGTACCCATCTTCTATTGGCTGCTTCCAGCAGGATAACGCATCATGTCACAAAGCTCAAATTATCTCAAACTGTTTTCTCAAACATGACAGTGACTTCACTGTACTCAAATGGCCTCCACACTCAGCAGATCTCAATCCAATAGAGCACCTTTGGGATGTGGTGGAACAGGAGAGTCTCATCATGGAAGTGCAGCCAACAAATCTGCAGCAACTTTGTGATGCTGTCATGTTAACATGGACCAAAAATCTCAGAGAAATGTTTCCAGCACGTTGTTGAATCTGTGCTCTGAAGGCATAATGAGGTGCAACGCAGTACTAGCAATTTGTGCCTAATGAAATGGCCATGGTTGTATACAGATACACAGACATGCTGTTACAAAACCACTGTGATTCCTTAATAACAGCACACTAATTCATATTTTCCCCTCCTGTCAGAAGTTAATTATTAATAAATGTTGCAGAGTTAATAATCACAAGTCAATCAAAACGATTCCCTAAGTAATGCTGTGTCGTTATTAAGACAGCTTACATTTCTGGAGTGAAGTTTTGCTTAAAGATAATTTTTTGGGGAGAGCAGTATCATCGTCAACATATGGTTACATGTAGTTTTTACTTAATTCCAAATGCGATGCATTTCATGTATGAATGAAAGAATTTCTATAGTCCGAATTTACTGCATAATACAGTGTTTATGAAAATAATGACAACTGCAATATAAAATTCTCATTGAAAGTAGATTTCTTAAAACCCATATCTGCTTGTAGTCCATTTACGTGTGCCACATATGAGTCATGACCTATATTTGTAATACTTCTGTGGTCTAACTGACTCATGTGCAGGTCTCATGATGCCCAATAAACACGATGTGAAAGTGTTAGACGGACACGTTTGGGTGATTGATTGCGCAGTCTCTTTCGGATAGAGCTCTCTGGCCACACTGGCCTGTGGCAATTGTGTTTTAATGGATCAGAATTGAATGGAGGGTAAATGGATGCACTAAAGCCCTTAGCAACTAAGTGTTTTCCGTTTTCACACACCGCAGTGCCCTCACAAAGCGGCTGACCTCACGCGTATTCAATACTCAGAGCTGGACATCCGGACCGATCTTCGTGGGTCTAAGGTTAAACAGATCAGAGTAAATAAAGTGAACCCGAACTTACTGCAGATGAAGAAGTACGACGCCGTGCCGGTGAGGAGGATCGGGCTACGAGCCAGGGAGCTGACCAATCCACAGATGCCTCCAAAGAGCAACAGAACCAGGCTGAGGGGAAGCATCACCACAATTGCACTGTGCATGTCTGGGTAGAAACAGATGGATTATGGAGCATCAGCGGAGTTATAGCTGCCTTGACAGTGAAAGTTCATTAGCAGAAAAGCTGGTGGTGTTTCTGGACTCACTCAGCATGCGCAGCTCGGTATCGGAGACCCCGGAGTAGTCAACTGTGAACGAGTCGATAGAGCCCGTGTACATCTTCCCACCTGAATATCACATTTAACAACACGGTGATGTTGGTTGAGGGTTTAGATCTCAGCATTTAGAGGCAAAAGTTAAGAAAAGTGGCAGCCTACCTTCGTTGATGCTCCACAGTCCCGAGTGGGAACTCATGTTCTCAAAGTCGCTGACATTCATGGGATTCATTTCTATAATGTACCAATAATCGGTGCCGAGGGAAGTGGCCAAAAAGGCAAAGCTTAGCATCCCGCAGATGCCAGCTGCGATAACGAAAGCGCCAAAAGATACCTTCATCTTGGACAGGTTAAGGTTTGAGACACGCGTGAAACTCGGTGGCTTCAGCTCATGCGTAACGGAGGTCTTCTGCTGTCGAGTGTGCTTTGGAGTGCTTTTACGCACTCATCACCGCCGGCTAAGTAATCAGGAAAAAATATCCCTCCCCAAAATCTTTCCAATTGACTAATCAAATTGTTAAGGGGAATCGATATTCATTTCCGTTCTCAATTAATGAATGATCACACAGTAACAAAGAGATAAGAACCTGCCTGAGCAGCAGCAGCTCCTGTCTGGGAGGGACTCGGATTCACACTGAAACGCACACGTTTACGCAAAACACGGAGGGAGCAAATAGCGGAGAGTTAAGAGGCTGCACTCATTTGTGTTTGAGTAAAATACTTTAACCTCAATTTCAAGCTGTGGTATGGAGAAAGCTAGAGATGCAAAGGCTTATATAAATATAATCAAATCTAAATACATTATAAATACAGCCAGACCTTTTGAGTGGAGGATTCATGTTGCTCTAACAGACTACATCTATATTAAAGACACCATAAATAATTATGTTACAGAATCCAATATTTATTAGATATCAGATTACATAAAAACAGAAAGTGTTAAAAGATAAAAACACATACGTGAAAAAAGATGACATGAAGGCACACAAAGGAAACATAAAAATGAGTTTGGTGAGGAACAAGTCAATAATTCTGACAGCTACAATTATTCTCTCCATCTTTCTCAGATACACAAACGAGCTCATGTCATTCATCTGAATCTGTCGCTGTGTCACTCTTCTCCCATGGCCGTCTTGATGATGTCTGCTCGCCTCAGTTTGGCTGCCTCTTCAAACTTGGTGATGGCCTCATTACAAGATTTGTTCTGTGAGCAAAGAAGATCAACTGCAGATCAGTAATTAAGGCCTTGTTGTCATGGAAATAATTAGCAGACATTATTCTAGTCGGCAAAGTGTTCGCTCGTCAGACATATCCCAAAAAACTATTTAATAAATTGTTATTACACAAGACAACAGATTCGTGACTTCCTATAAAGAACGTACATTGATGAACTTGTGCCTCTCTTTCTGCAATCTGTAGAATTCCTCCACAGTCAGGTCTTCCACTTTTTTCTTCAGGGCAATGAAGTGGCAGGATGGCGAATGAGACTTGTGCTCCTTTCTGGCAAAAACAAGAGATAGATGGGAAAGTAAAGAGCTGTGGGCATGTAGTCACAAAGACTCCTAAATAATGCCACTGAAACACAAGTCTTGTTAATTATGACAATAAGAGTCAAAATGGGGGACCGGGGGTCACAGGCAAACTCTCGCACATTAAAGGAAAGGCTTATAGGAGTCAACAGCTGTTACTGGAGGAGAAAAACAAACAAAAAAAATAATAAATCACCAAGCCTCACCAAACACTCGTGTCACCGGATCGCTCACATGTTTTTATTACGAGTGAGCCAAAAAGGGGGAAATAACCCAGGGTGAGCACAGATGGTTCTGAGCTGTCATAAAATGTTAGCAAAAATCACTTGGCAATAACTTTGACACCAATTTGGCAACATGTTTGAAGTTTGCTTAATAATACTGAAGACATGCTGGAGACATTATTAACGACTTGTAAAAACAAGAACGGCTTAAATTTATGGAAGAAATTAACAACTATTGGGCAGTTTATTTTTTATTTCTGAGCCCAGTAATGTGATGTGTGCTCTTACTCTGGGTCATCCTCTGGCTCCCAGCCCTCCAGCTCTTTCAGGCAAAAGAAACACATGGCGATGTCTGGGCTGTTCTCTGAAGGTGTGTGAATGAAGCCGGCTTTAGCCATCTGCAGGAATAAATGAAGATGTCATGTTGCACGAAAAAAAAAACAAAAAAAACAAAACTTCATATAGAGCTTTTCACACGTACCACTCGGGTTTATTTAATTAAAATGAGTCATTTAATATATTTATTACTCACTTTATTTTTTCTTTATTGTATGTCATCTAGACTTTAAGTTATTGAGCTCCATACTCCATTATATTAATCTTTTGAGACTGTACTGTATAAGCTATTTGTTTTGTCATAACACTACTACTACAAATAATAATGACAACAACAACTACTGACAGCAGCATTAACTCAAATAACCAGTCGTTACAAATGTAGTATGCAGAGGCGCATCTCCGAACACACAACACATTGAACCTTGAAGCAGATGGGCTCCAGCAGCAGAAGACCACACTGGGTGCCTCTCCTGTCAGCTAAGAACATGAAACTGAGTTGCAGTTCGCAGAGGCTCATTAAAATCTCTGCTATAAAGTCTCAGTATCTGTTGTGGCATTCAGATCTCAGTGTCAGAATTTGGCATAAACAACATAGAAGCCTTCTGCCTCCTGTCAACAGTTCAGGTATGTGGGATATCTTCTTGGCTGACTTCGGGCCCTTTACTACCAACTGAGTGTCATTTAGGCAACACCACGGGCAACTGATTATTGTTCCTGTCAATGTCCAGCGCTTTAGAACCACTGATGGCTACATCCAAAAGGCTAACCCACCATGTCACAAGGCTTGAATTGCGTAAAGCTGTTTTTTTGAGCTTGACAGCGAGTTCACTGTACTCAAATGGCCTCCACAGTCACCAGATCTCAATCTAGTGGAGAGATTTTGGGATGTGGTGGATGCATCATGGATGTGAAGTCTACAAATATGCTATCATGTCAATAGGAACCAAAATCTCTGAATGTTTCCCCCACTTGGTTGAATCTGTACCACGAAGAGTTAAAACAGCTTTGAAGGCAAAAGGGGGCCCAACGCGATAGTAGCAACTTGTACCTAATAAATTGACAGTACATGTCCATAGTGATGTGACGTTCTGTATCGAGGCTTCAAAGCTTGTGTCGAGTAATTTAGCGGGCGTTTCCGCGATGCGGTATCGAGGCTTGCCTCATTTATGGGAGGAGCTGAAAATGATGACATCCGAAGCCTCGCTGCCCGGCTGTACCAGGTGACTGGTTCGTGAAGTGGTTCGAACTTTGCCGCGAGCTATGACAGCGATATAAACCCCTCAGACTTCATTCAAAATGTGGGTGTTTGATGGAGAGTTGCGGTTAGTGAGAGTTTGGAGACAGTTTGGAGGTTTATGAGAGAAAGTCAGGAGAGAATGGAGCCAGCTAAGAAGAGGAGGATGTCCTCACCTGTGTGGGAACATTTTGATTTTATTCCTCCCAACAAGGTATGTAAATTTCTACAGAAGATGTATTTTCATAATACTGATGGTGCAATACAATTTATGTTAAGCTGTCTGTACCTTTGTACAAGGTGAAGTGTTTGCTATGTGCCAGGGAGCTGGGATATAACAACAACACCTCATCCATGCTTAGGCACTACAGAGCTTTGCATGAGAATAAGGGGAACACCGATTGAGGAGCAAGACCAGGTGAGCCATCAAATGTCATGATAATATTACTAATATTAGTAACATTACTAAATGATATAACAATATTCTACAACTGTAATAAGTTACGTGTGTGATTTTATATTTGTGCTTTGTCTTTATTGTCTTTATTGTCTTTCCTCAGGAGAACAATCTCAAATAGATGAAGACCTGGTTAGCATGGTGATTGAGGACTCCCAGCCATTTAGCATTGTGGATGACAAAGGATTTAAAAGATTTGTTAAATCATTAAATCCTAGCTATGTTCTCCCCACTAAAAAGGTCATAAAAGCAGTGAAAATGTAGTTTTTATAGAATAAAATGTGAACGGGCAGTGTGTAGCTGTCCATACCTCAACATTACAAAAGCACAACCGCTGTCCACACCTCACAGTAAATGATCATTTCCATTTTAAGCATTTCCAAATAATCATTTTCCATACTGCCAGTATAAATATACACAGTATACTTCCATCACTACAATATACATGTTTTACACACTCCTTTTGTTGTTGACATTTACAGGCTGTGTGCAAAAGGCCACACTCTTCAAATTCATGCCAACTAATATTTTTACGTCCAGTAGGTGTCCTACTAGAGCAAATGAAGCTTCAAGAAGCTTTGCACTGGGGTGAACCAATTGGACGAAGAGCTTCAGTGCTTCGTGAAGCTTCATCTGCCCATCACTACATGTCCATTACTATTTAAATTTAAGCAGTTTTAATTGGAAAAAAAATAACTCGGATGAATCAACAAGGAAAACAATAGATCCTTGCAGTTAATGTGTCGGTTTCAGCGCGTTAAATGTGAGAATTTGTCGTAAATTGAGTACATTTAGGTTTAGGGACTAGGAGCCAAAACAAGTGTGTATTTAGGCATACAGATGGGGAGTCAGAAGATTTGTATTTCATTTAAATCTACAGCTAAACCAGAGTTTAGCTAGATTGTATTTCATCTGAGCCGCTTTTCTTTTTGCTTTCACGCCAGCTGCTGTTGTACTGTTAGCATGTCAACAGTAAGGCGTCGCTCACCGTTTCCAACCTCAGTTTAAACGTTAACTCACGTTTTCCGGCGTGCACTTGCAGTCTTCGTCGAATGGCCACCCCCCATAAGTTTTTAACCTATTCTCAAAAAAATACATTTTGATGTTTTCCTCGTTGTATGGATCCATTGTATTCACTGTCGCACGAACCCGTGAGCTAAACTACAGAGCCTTTTCAAATTTCGACGACACTTCAATTCGGCTGTTTTGATTGGTTGCCCACCTTCTTCGTGTGTATATTAGGTAATCGTATGAGCACAAGAGCGCCATCATGTGTTCTTGACCGAGAGAAAAAATAAGGAAATTTATTAGACAAATGCGCTCAAACTACGTTTAAAATTTGACTCGACTTTATTTAAAAAACAAAACAAAACTTGCTCTCATTCATTACTCTCTACCTTCTACGTGAGCACGAGTCAACCTTAAGTTCAAGCATCCGTTATACTTGCGTCCCACTTCCGCTTTGTGGTCATGGGCAATGTAGTTCATTACGTTTATTGGTCGAAAGCACAACGCGCGGAACTTTGTGAGACAGTGTCACATCCTCTGTCAACAACCGGTTCACATAACCTCACATTAGCATCCCTCACTGAGCTGATAGTACCATTAAAGTGAGCTTAACGTGACATTCAGCGGCTTCTTCTTCTTCTCCCTCCGGGTCCAGGTTATGGAGGGACGGTGTGCTGTCGAGACTTGGGCACAGTTTGGGTTTTCGGGAAGATCTTATAAAGTGAAGATCCTCTGTGGTTTCGGAACAGATGTTTTAATCTGCACTGGCACTGAAGAGATCTACGTGTTCAGTAAACGTGAAAGGAAAATCACGGCAAGTATCCGATTTACATGTATCAGACACAGATAAATAGATATAGATCTATGTACTTTATTTATCCCACACTGGGGAAAGTCACTTGTTACAACACCACAAGGGTCAGAAAGCAAAAAAGTTAACTAGAGATATATTAGGGGAAAAAAGATACTAATAAATCTAGATATCAATCAAATATTAAGCTATACTAAGACATAAGCTACACTGCAGGGCATATCTCTGGATTAACCATACTGTGTGTTGCTTCGTATTGTGCTGTTGCAGACTGTCCTCCTGTTACCTGCTGCTGTTAATGACCTGGTTGGAAACCAGGACAAGCAGCTAATCTATGTTGCATGTAGGAGTGGAGTTTACCGTGTAAACTTACAGTTTCTGCTACACAGGTATGAACCCTCATAGTTAGATTTCAGTAAACCTTTTTTAATTAATGCTGTTATTTCAACTCTGCTAAATTGCTCTTATGTAATATGACATTTCTCCTCTGCAGGGATCAAAGCTCTCAAGCTGATGCATCCTCCAGTCCAGCTGAACTGAAAATCTCCCAAGAGTGTCTTGTTGTTGGAGCAGATGAAGTGTCATCTCTGCTCCTCGTTGGCTCTGTGCTCCTGACCCTTTGCCAGAGAGATGCCTCCTGGCTGCTGACTTTGTACAAAACGCCAAAGCAAACGGCGTCTACTAGCCACAAGGAGTTTGGCTCGTTCCATCTGCCGGTGGCCTCAGCTGTGGACTGTGGCGCTGCTGAGTCAAATAGAGGACCAAGAAAGGGCTCTGTGCTAATTTGCATCCATTCGGGTGATGTAGAGGCATCGTCTTCCTCCAATGCTTCTGCAGAGTCAACTGTAGCTCAAGACCACTTCCACCTGGAGCCTCTCCTCTTCAAACTGTTATTTGGAGTTGAAGCCGCCCTTGCCAAATCTCCAGTCATCCTTTGCGGCCTGCCAGATGGGCGCCTGTGTTTCCTTCCTCTGCGTCTCCCGGGATCGCGCCTTCGAGTCCTGCACAGCCTGGAGCAGCCGGTCTGTTTTGTCGGTGCATCTGTTGTCACGGAAACGGGTCACGCACAGTGCTTGGTGGCGGCGGGCGAACAAGGCAGAGTGGCACTGATCAAGACTGACAAGGCAGGCTCAGAGGGGGGAAGCGCTGTGGCTGCTTTTACTGAGGGGTGTGTACCAGGGCCTGTATGGTGCGGCTGCATGGATAAAAGCTGTTTTTACTACAGCACTGGTGCAGATCTGCTCCGACTGGATCTGTCGGAGGGATCGTTTGCGAGAGAAAGCAAAGAAAGAGGGGAAGAGACATCTGGGACGACAGCGGCCGCCCTCCAGAGCCCCAGCAGTTTAAATGTGTGCAGAGTCATCGCCCTGGCTGAGCCTGCATGCAGCACTGCGGGTGAGCAGAATAGACGTGCTGACTTTGAATGGATTTATTATAAGTTCAGCTTCAATGTGCTCTTCAAGTTAGGAAACAGGAAAATGCACAGGTTCTACATGTTGTGCACTCATGTAATTCTGTCTTGTATTCTAATTTAAACTCTCAAACTATTTTTCCTAACTCTAAAAATGCTTCATGCACAGCAGGTGATGTACAGCTGCTTGGAGTGTCTGCCAGAGGGCAGCTCCAGAGGATCTGCTTACCTGCGGGGAGGGTGGATGAAGGATCGTCTAAGCTTCCTTCCACACAGGTGTCCCGCAGTGTCAGGGACCTCCTGTCTGCCATCGGGGATGTTTGTGAGAGGTATGCCCGTCAAGTATTTGATCGGGTGTGAAAGACGACATTTAAATAAAACACAGCAAAGATCTGTAAATATATATGTGATTTTTTTTTTTTTTTGCTTTCTTCATATAGAGCATCAGTGCTGAAAACAGTCATCAAATCCAAAAACCAGTTTCTGAGGCTTCTGAATCACGCCGTCAGCGTCAGTTTCCTGCTGATGGCAGACACAACTACTGATCTTCCAATTAAGGAGAAACCAATCAGATGTCATTTCGAGACTAGCTGGAGCAGACTGCTTCAGAAAGACTCCTTGAGCCTTGTGTGTTTCCTGCATAATTCAAGTCCATTTGTCCTGGAACGAGGCTGGACGCTGAGCATTACGGTGTCCCCTCTGTCTTATTCTTCCTCCCCAGCAGGAGAAAGCTCCTCCACTAATTTTTCATTCCCGTTTCACGACCTCCGTCCGGGGCAAACATTCGAAGCGTCTCTGCCTATCGCAGCTGCAGGTGATGCATCTTTCCCCATGACTGTGAGCTGCTCGCTCATCTTCTCGCTCTCGAGTCTTCTGGGAGAGGAGGAGGTGGCGGCGAGCTTTGCAGGCTTGCAGAGCAGCTGTATCAGTTTGCCCCTGTCCACACTGACAGTGGACTGGCTGCATGCTCTGCAGCTAAACAGTCCCACAGCTACTCATAAGATGGCCACAGTTCAGCCCAGCAGCGCCGCAGCAGATAGCATCCAGACCTTTTTAAGCTCGCGCCAGCTCAGGTGCAGCGGTAGAACGAACAGAGGAGGAGAAAGTGCTGCAAAGCCTGAGCCTGAGAAGTATTCAGCAAGCGTATGGGTGTCATCAGAGATAGTGAGGGATACGCTGAAGCCAAAAAAGAGTTCAAATTTGGATGCCAAAGAGTCGATACGAGACCCCGAAGATCTCTGCCTGTCTTTGCTTGAGCGACTGTTGTCTGAAGATACTGAAGGAGTGAAGATGGGTTGCCAAGGAGACAAGATTGCTTTGAGCACCTCAGTGGCCCACGCTCGTGGTCCAAACGGAGCGGCAATGAAACTGACAGTGAAAGAGGTCAATCGTTATCTAATATGATATAATCATATATTGGTATGTTTTATATCCTCATCGTCAATGCTCCTTTATTCTCCAGATAAACGTGGGGGAGGAGGAGAGCACAGACAAGGAGGCTACAATCGAGGTTCAGATCGAGAGCTCATCTTTAGCAGCGGTGTGTGGCCTGCACCATGCTGTGCTGCGCCGGATCCAGGTCCAGAACACACTTATATAACATAAGCTAATTTCTGGCTAAACTTAGGTAGTTGCAGATTTTGAATATTTTGCATTCTTCTTTTTTAATGTAAAACTGTACAGATGTATAACAGGGATGTCAAACTCACTTCACATCAAGGGCCACACTATTTGATCTTAAGTGGGCCAGCCCAATCAAACTCCCATTTCTGTCATTGTAAAGTAGTTTAACTGCACATTTAATCCCAGAGATATGCTAATATAAGAAAAAGAAGTACAACTTCAATATTATCCCAGTTTTTCTGCATGATAGGGAAACGCTGCTGTAGCAAAGGAAAGAAATCTTTCAGTGTGACTATAAGGGGATAAAATGTAAGACATTAACAGAAAAGCTTCTGGTTGCTGATTGGCCCAACTGTTCTCCAATTATAAAGCAGATAGTTTTTGTTAATTCACAGAAAATGTCCTATTTTATTTTATTTCTTTTACCACGGACACAAGAATTCAATATTTATCTCCTCTTTCAGCTTTGCCAAACATGTCTAGATGGGCCGGATTGGAGTCTTATGTTTGACACCACTGATGCAGAACATACTGCTAGACTTTTGTGATACGTGCAAATTTGCCATTCCACCTTCCAGCCACTTGAATTGGCATAAATAGAAGGAGCGTAAAAATAGCGGCTCCCTAGTGCAGTGGTTCACATGTTAGCCTAACAAGCGAAAGACCCCCCGCTTCGATTCCAGGAGGAGACACAAATCCTTTGGGAAGGGGAGGGGAGGGCTGCATCAGGGAGGACGTCCAGCCTCACAAACACACTAAGCTACTCGCAGGAGAGCTGCGAGTCAGTGCTATGACATGGAAACTGGGACGATTCTTTTAACGTGTGCTGCAAACAGTGTGGTCGGTTTAAAAGGAAGCGTTATCGTGTCTTTGGGCTTGAGAACAACGCTTCATGTCCCTGTTTTACTTGAAATTCTTTAGGTTTGAATTTTTCCTCTGCTCCTCGACACAGACTCTGCTGCAGAGCGCCACAGAGAAAGCCGCCTCTATAAAGAATGTCCAGATTTTAGGATTAAGACGGGCGCTGCAGCAGGCCGAGGTAAGTGGGCCCGCGCTTGACGATTAATCTCATTAATGTCAAAGCCCTCCGTATCATTAAATACACGTAATTATCCAGCTATTTTCTCTTAGTTCAATTAATTGATTAGCAAGACTTTAGAGCTTTTGAGGGCTTGGGATGTCTGTAAGTGTGTTAAGATTAAAGCTCGTCTGTGTTTTTTGTTTCATGTGTCCTCTGTGCGTTAACAGATCCAGCAAAGTCAGATCTCAGGAGCCTTTGGTGAGGTCGTGTCCACAGTGCAGAGAGATCGGCTGCTTCTCAGTGTTTACCAAGAACTCAGACGAAATCCTCTGCTCATAGTGTAACACCTACACAGCTGCCCTCGCTTGTTTGGTGTTGTTGCGTAATCTGACTTTGCTGCCAGCCCTTTCACAGTGCAAAGCACATGTAATACTTTAGACTGTAAGATGGTTTCTATATGACATTTTACAGTATATTTTGATTTTGAAGAGGTTATAATTTGGTGATGTCTAATAATAAAGTTTCTCTTGTTTTTTCACATGACAATAAATTCAGTGAAGTATTTCTGTAACTTTGCTCCTGTTTGTGTTTATACTCATGTAACTGTTTTAGTTTCCAAGTATTAATATTTTACTACACAACCTCCAAACAGGACTCGGTGCAAAATGTACATTTAAAACAACACAATACTGTGCATGTTACTTTAACCCTAAGTATAGTTTCCCAGATGGCTGCTCCTCCCTGAGCCTGGCTGTGTCAGAGATTTCTTCCTGTTAAAAGGGAGTTTTTGCTTCCCACTGTTGCCAAGCGCTTGCTCATAATGGGTTTAAAATTGTATAAAGACCACATAATTTGACAAGCTCCAGAACTGTCTTACAGGTGCATTTTTACAGTCTCCTGATATTTCAGGTGTGTGTGTGACACAGTCACTACATTGGACACTTTATTAGGCACACCTTGCTAGTTGATTGGGTTAATTAACCCCTCTTTTAACTTCCATGCTTTCATGTTGCTTAAGCCAAACTCTGACTCTACCAGATGTCACAGCAGAAATTCACATTCATCAGACCAGGTAACATCTTTCCAGCCTGATATTGCCCTATTTTGTTGAGTCCATGTGATTTGCAGCATCAGTTTCCTGTAACTAGCTGACAGGAGTGGCACCGGTGCCGTCTTCTGCTGTTCGTCTTCTTCAAGGTCTGCCGTGCATTCAGAGATGCTCTTCTGCGTAGCTTGGTTGTAACGAGTGGTTATTTGAGTTAATTTTGTTGTTGGTAAAGCAGTTTGGTCTGACATCAAGAAGGCATTTTCACCTAGAGAACTGCCGCACACTGGATATTTTCGATTTTTCAGACCTTTCCCTGTAAACACTAATGATGGTTGTGCACCAGTAGATCAACAATTTTTAAGATAGTCAGAGGAGCCTGTCTGACACCAACAACCACGGCACATTCAAAGTCACTTAAATCACCTTTCCTCCCCATTCTGATACTCTGTTTGAACTTTGTCAGGTCATCTTGACCATGTCTACATACCTAAATTCACTGGGTTTCTGTCATGTGATTGGCTGTTAGATATTCTGTTTAGTGTAGGATCTGATGCATTGTGCTTGAACATGGAATAAACATGGAACAGACAACTGATAGATTTCAGTATCGTTATGTTTTCAGCCAATCATTTAATCCACTGCAGAAAAAACACATTCCTGATATGTTTATGTGTGGAAAGTTGTCTGAGGAAAACGTTGCCTATGCCTTTCTCAGCATTTTGCGATGGATTGTACATTTTGGACATAAAATGGGTAATCACAGCCATTTTAACTGACACTATAATAATTGCAGGGACTGAATGTTCTTGTGATGGATAAGCTTCCTAAACCTGGTCAGGGAGATGCAAGTCATTGAATGTTATTAGCGATCTACATTAACTGTCCCTTTAATTGCCCGAGACATGGAGCAATTTCTGTTTTAAAGCTCCGATGAGTTTTTAATATACAGACTCACACAGTCAGTACAGTGATTACAAACAGTTTACATCACTGCAATAAAACAGACTTCTAATGGATACAAACCGCAGAATAGTAATTGAGTTTAAATGCAATTATTTTTAATAACTTCATAGTTACTCATTTGTAGACCTTGCTGTGAGCGCTATGATATGAAGAACTCAGTCTAAGAAGTGAATCTTAGTGGTTAATTTTTCTTAATGTAGACCAGACAGAGAGAAAATTAAAAGGACTGCACAGGATTGCATTTTTTTATTATGTTGAAAACTTGTTTTGTTTATTTTTTCTTAGTCTGTATCATTTCTGATCTGTCCAGGGTGTACCCACACTTCAGGCTTCAGCCTCCTGTGGCTCTGAACTGGATGAGTGGAAGAGAATGGATGGATCAGTCATTTCTATATTTTACTTTTCTCTAGGACTAGCACAAGAAAAAGGCACACAAATGTACATTTGGAAACTAAAATACTTAGCACTTAGCAGATATTTAAATTACAGAGGTTTTTCTGTGTGAGTGGATCAGGCACCATGTCCTGCTGTTTTCCCCTCACCTGCTGCAGGTAAGGTAACACAGTACTTCTACAGGTGAAGCCTTAGTGTCACTGGCTTCTTTTTTAGGTTCAATCATAATGAAAAGGTGACTCCTAACCAGACTAGTCCTAATCATTATTAGTATAATGATTATTCTGTTACAGTTTGAAGTCTTGAAACTAACATGCAGAAATAGCTTCTGCATGAAGTTGAATAAATGCCTCCAGATTGTTTGAAGTATAAAGTAGATTACAGGATTGTATTTGTCATGTTGTTGCATCGCATTCTAAACATATGTAACTCACTGAATCCTTTTTACTTAACAGCCATTGTCCCTTAAAGGTCTGGCTCAGACTCACAACTTAAGCAACACTCTGCGGGTTATTGTCTCATAAGTACAGCAAGCCGACTGATTAAAGTGTGAGCCTGCTGAGGTTCTAGGTTCAGAACTGGATTAGTGACTTAAATATCCTGGAAATAATGGGCTTGATCACTTAGAGTCATGATAGAAAGAAAATCTACCCTATTTCAATTACAACATTTCATGTATGAGGATATAATACAAATAATTTAGTCGTAAGGAGGTCTCACAATTAGATAAATACAAACATAAATGATCAACAGCACATGACATATTACTCTGCGTCCATATTTATTCAACAAAAACTCAAAAGCCAAAAAGAACCACCGTAACTGATAATTAGCAAATGTGAGCAGCTCTATAAAAGCAGATATTTTGGTGATTTGCAGGTCTGTGTTAACACAATGCCAATAATTAAAGACATCAGCAGTGATCTTACAGAAGCAGTAGTTGCTGCCCATCAATCTGGGAAGGATTACAAGATTGAAGTTCATCATCCTAAAGTGAGGAAGATTATTCAATATCATTCAGGACAATCTTCCAAGGGGAGGATGTCCCAGCAAATTCACCCCAAGGTCAGACCATTCAGTGTTCAGAGAAATGGAAGAAACCAAGACCAAGTTGCATTTGAACAAACCACAAGACAATAGAAACAATATCCTTTGGGCAGATAAAACCAAACTAAAGATGTTTGGCCACAATGCATGATACCACGTGGAGAATACCAAACACAGCATAGCAGCACAAACACCTCTTAACAACTGTTAAGCACGGCGGTGGAGGGGTAATGATTTGGGCTTGTTTTGCAGCCACAGTAGCTGCGCACCCTGCAGTCACTGAGTCGACCATGAACTCCTCTGAATGCCAAAATATTCTAGGGTCAAATGTGAGGTCCTGTCTGACAGCTAAAGCTTGGCTGCTCATGCAACAGGACACTCATCCCAAGCATGGCAGCAAATCTACAAGAGAAAGGCTGAAAGAAAACAAGGTGTTACAGTGGCCCAGTTAAAAGTCCAGACCTGAACCTGAGCAAAGTGCTGAGGGCCATAACAGAGCTGTGCATGAATAAATATCTGCAAACCTTAATCAATGAAGCAATGCTGTAAAGAAGAGAGAACAAAAATTCCTTCTTAACAGTGTGAGAGAGTGATAAAGTCACACAGAAAACGATGCATTCAAGTTATTGCTGTTAAAGGAAATTCTACGTGGGCTGCTCTTTCACACTCTGCATCCGCATGTTGGCTCAGTTCTGTTAAATAAATAATGACACAGTTAAATATGTCATGTGTTGTTGTTCAGCTCAGGTTTAAGCCCTGGCGTGGACTGGATATTTTCTCATTATGGCCACATATAAACCTAGGAATTGAAACAGCCTTTGCTTTCTTTTCACCATGACTTTAGATCTAATATACCAAGATTTTAAAAACAGATTTTACTACAGGGTTCAGTCTCAACATCGGATTCCAGTGCTAGTTTGGGTCCACTCTCTTTTATGAATGAGCACACTGACACATAAACAGAACATGAGAATTTATTTGCTTAATTTAGAGCAGAACATAGAAACAGTGACAGCGGTCAGTAGCTTGGGCAGTCTTGCCAGGACATTTTCATTCTTGTCAAAATAACAATCACTGTTATTAAGAAGGGACTGAAAAAGAGCGAGAAGGACATTTAGGAGGAGAAAGCAAGTAAGCACCTGACAAATGTGCCATAATTTCAGCAACCATTGCTGCTGCTGAAACTGATGGTATTTTCTGCTGCCATCATGGTGTGATGTGCGAAAGCTGATAGCGTCAACACGCCTAAAGCAGCAGCAGGTGAGTTCTGTTCCTTGCTGCTAAACTCTTTCACTATGACAGCCAAGGTGCATCCAAAAACAGCACCGGCTTTGAGAATAGCAGGTGATGATGAAGAACAAAATTGCTAAATTTGATCCAACAAAATGTAAATGATTTTAACAGCAAACGCAAGAGCTGATTATAAGACATTCAACAGTTTAACCCCTTGAAATCTTGAAATCGCCAAAAGATGAATCTCTCAAGAAAACATTGCAGTTTTTCAGCTTAATAAAGAAAAACAAAAGTCGACTTTCTGACTTTTATACATTCTGTCTCTCAGGCCACAATATCAAACGTCAGTGGTAAACTTGATTATAGACTGACCAGCCACTTTATTAGGTATACCTTGCTAGTACTGGGTTATGGTACCCTTGGATTGTTTTTATAGCTTTGTAGCAAAGATTCAGCAAGGTGCTGGTCCATAGTTACATGATAGCATCACACACTTGCTGCAGATATGCAGGTTGCACATCCATGATGTGAATCTGCCATTCCACCACATCCTAAAGGTGTTATATTGAATTGAGATCTGGGGACCATACAGTGAAGTCATTCAATATTCAAGAAACTAGTGACGTGGTGCAGAGGCAGCCACCACCACCAGCAGTCTGAACCACTGATACAGGAGAATTCAAGACTCATCAAACCAGGCCACATTTTTCAGGTCTTCAGTTGTTCAATTTTGGTGAGCCCTTCTGCGTTATAGCTTCAGTTTCTGGTTTGTAGGTGACAGGAGTGGCACCCAGTGTGGTCTTCTGCTGCTGTAGTACATCTGCTTCACCATGTGAGGTGTTCAGAGATGCCCTTCTGCATACCTTGTTTGTAAAGAGTTGGTTATTTCTGTTTCCTATGAGTTTCTCCTCTGATCTATGACATCAATGAGGCATTTTCATCCAGAGAACTGGTGCACACTGGATATTTTCTGGATAGTAGTGTCAAAATATCCCAGCATATCAGCAGCTTCTGAAGTACCACCTTGTCTGGCACTGACAACCATATAACGTTCAAAGTAGCTTCAATTACCTTTCTTTATTATTCTGATACTGAGTTTGAACTTTAGCAGGTTGTCTAGTGTGCCCAAAAGCACTGAGTTTCTGCCATGTGATTGGCTGATTAGGTCATTTTCTGCCAACTGTTGGTCTTTCACCTCATCAGGCCCCAATCAACCGACTTCTTCAAAACACACACATGCTAAGTGCAGTTTTTGACTTCTTGATTTCAGCTATTTAGCACTTGATCAGATGTACCTAATGATGTGGCTGGCAAGTGTATATTGAGTGAGTTCATAATTCCCTGCTAACACAGAAGAAGTTGCATGTAGCTAATAAGCTTCCAGCTGCATTGTTTCCATGTAGTCAGAACGAAATAATGTCCATCATAAATCCACAAGGAACACTTTGAAATTGGTCATAGTGTTATTAACTCCTATGGCACGCTCACATGATGTAGTACTGCTAATTTTGTGACATTAATGGGAAGGAAGCATATTTTCAGCTTTTTATGATATCCCTGGTTCCTTTATTTTGATAAAACAATCTTTACCTAAACAAAATAATGCAAGATATGCATTTTTAAAAATCTCTGTGTTCACAAAAGAAAAAGAAAACACACTCCAAGTACGAGTCTCGGGTACAGTCTTTCTCTGTTTCTACAGGCAGCTATTTGAAACCTTGTCACTCTCGTCTCCTAATAACCTCAGTCAGTAGTACCATGCATGACTTCACCCACCTAGAGGGTGACATCACTTCTAATGGTGACTGCGTCTGCCTCAAATGGCACCCTGTGTCACTTGACCTAATGAGTGAACGGTACCATTACATGCCCACACTACAACTTTACTGGCTTGCTCATGTAATACTTGTTTTTAGTGGTTAAAAGGCAAAAAAGATATAGATGGAATGATGAATATACATAAAAGGATGTCATGTCATGTTACGTTATGTCATACTAATAACTAAATCTGTGAAAACATGAAGTGTTCATTAACACTAATTGTTAAAATCCTCACTCAAAACACTGTTCACTTCATTGAGATTCTCTTGGCCTAATATATACATATGCAGTCCTCTCTTTGTTCACCTAGCTATGTGAGCCTCTCTCAATAATGCTCTTTGCAAAAGGAAAAAGAATAACAGTGATTTAGATTCACATTAAGCACTTAATGCCAACAATGAGATGAGCTAGGACTCAGGTTTGGACTAATATTGGTTTGTATTAATACTCCCAGAGGGCTGAGCTGCTCAGGCAGAGTCCATCTCCCTTAAGAGTGCCTCCCTGGTCTCCACGCAGGTATTTGCCATTCTTGCCACGGATGGCGAGACGGCCGTGCTCAAGGAGCTCCAGAGTGAAATCCTCAGGGGCCTCGCCATCTGAACACACCAGCCCGGCACTGTTAACGTACCAGAACCGGCCATCAGCACCTGCAGGGGTTTAAAGTAAATACACCAAAGTCAGACAGAGTAGACAAATTGCAGTAAACAAGCAAATTAGAGGAAAACTAAGCAACCTGGCTTTTTCCAGAAGTATGTTTGATGTATGTGCTGACCTTTAATATGGTAGGCTCCATTGCTGAATTGCACAGTGAAAATGTCATAGACAGATCTGCTGGCATCCAGTGTGTTCGAGTTTCTGTGGTGGCAGATGAATCCATTCTCTCCTCTAAGGATAAGCATGGGTCGGTTGATGAGTTTCAGAGTGAACTGTTCATCATCCCCTGGCAAAAGTCAACATAGTAATGATCAGAAAAAAGAGAGGTAAGAGCCACCTCTTAATTACCAAAGAAAGGGGCTATAATATAAAGGACTGTCCTCCTACCGATGGAGTCACTGACAGCGACTAACTGGCCGTTTTTCTTGGTACAGATGTATTTGCCATTGCTGGCTTTTAGTGCCACCTTGTGGCCAAGCCACTCCACTGAGAACATGGTGTTTGCTGACCTGTGGTGGAAAAGATTTCACACTTTTTTGAAGTTCGGTGTTTTGGATAATGTGTAAAATAAAACGAAAATTGCCTAAATTTGCTGGGATCATTCCTTCATAACAGTTATTTATCATTCTATGTGATTCACCTGTTTGCTATCTCATGCACTCATTTGACCATCCCTCTTATGTTAACCCTTGCATCTTAATTATCAGTTGCAATGAGTCAAATTTATGTAACGTAAAATGTCCAACTGACTCATTTTCAATGATAAATTCATTAATTTTTCTCTATACAACATATAAAAGTCTTCTCTTACAATTCAGTTGCAGTACACTGGACGCCTCCATGAGCCACCAGAGCCCAGCAGTTCCCTTGGCTGGTGCGGAACGTACACTTCTTGGTTTCCTTGTCAATCTCCATCTGAAACGTCTCCATGTCTGTCTCATCTTCCTGATTGGCTGCAAGGCTCACTCCTGGGAGAGACGAAATAAACACATGCTGTCACTGTTACTTTGCTTTAAGCTGGAAAATGTGAGGTGTTTTTAGTGTTATAGAAACACTGTGATTAAAAATGAAGTCGCACTGATTTGTTTAGCTTGGTCTACAAAAGATCTTGTAATTATATCTGATCCTGTTATTTTTAAAAAATCTTTTAAACTGCACTCTTTATCCCACGTGTCGTCCTCGAATATCTTCCTGAGGGTAAATACATTTTCAGTGATTGCAGCTCTGGATGCAGTTATGAAAAGAGCATACAGGAAATGGAGAAACAAAATAATTATGCCAAGGCAGGAAGATGCTTCTTAAAGTGAAAGTGTTATCAGCTGTTTTAGAGACACAACACTCTCACCGTGAGGCTTTGTGTTGATTACACCAAGACCACTTAACACCTGAACAAAAATCTCACTTGTGACTGAAAAACACTTTATTAAAATCTCTATTATTATTTTAGTATTTCTATTATTTACACGTGAAACAGAAACAGCTGTGACAAACTCTTACTTGGGTACTTTGTCTTCTAGGTTCAAAGGCAAACAGGCTTTACAATTAATCCTCTGTTATTTACTGAATGTAACCCATTAGTTTTAAGTAGATAATTTGCTTCTTGTCTATACATATTTTAGTTATTTTGTTGATTGCCACATTTTAACACTGTCCTGAACGCAGAGAGGAAGACAATAGTTTGCCACAAACTGCAAGACAGCTTGCAGAGGGCTAAGCCTAAATTAGATGCATTCCCGAGTATTCTCAATACATTTTCCTAATCCTTTAACAACACTAATCTGCATGCCTCTTATCTCTTCCTGTTCTATTCCCTGGTCATCATTCTCCACCTTCATCCCTTCCCCGATCTTTTCCTGCGTACCCCCTGACCCCCCTCAAGCCCCACCTCCCACCCTCACCCCACCTTTGGCCCTGTCAGTCTGCCCTCCTCACAGCAGGGCTCTGATATAATCAGCTTTCGAGTGCTACCCGTCCAATCCCTCAATCCCCTCAATAAAAGAATAAAGGAAAAACAGGAAGAGACCAGAGGATTTTATGGTCCACACTTAGCAGGATGTGCAGATAATTACCAAAACCTCTCAAAACTCAAACTGAAGGAAGCACGGATGATAAAGCAGAGGGATAACATGGTAAAAATGCAAAAGAACCAATGGCACCGTTTAGTTATAAATAAACTACACTAGTGGGTTACAATAACTTGCGAGGGTCCATAATGAGTATCTATGCTTAGACCTCTGAGGGTATAAGGTCCAGCTTTTTTAACTGTTCCCAGAATTTGATCTAATGTGTGCTTTCAGTTCCTGTGGTCCTTTTCTTTGGAACAAGCTTCCCCCTGACCTGAGGTCAAATAGAACTGTATCTACATGCAAAAGAGGAAAACAAGAGGAAATAAGTCAGACTACACTAGAAGTGTCTTTGATACTAACCACTGTGGGTTAGTATGTAACATGCATGCACAAATTAATGTTTGACACTGAATTTTCCACCTAGGACCATGTTGTACATTGTCACTGAATGAGTTACTAATTTGCTGAGCTGTTAACCTTGTGAAGCAATGGCTTGAATCTGAGACAAGGAGCATAGCAATGACTGATTCTCTTCCAACTCTTAAGAAGACACATAAGATAGTACAAGAGTTCTACTTTACCCCGTTAACTCATTTCGTGGTAGTATCAGCCACCTCAAAAATGATCCCTTTAACTGCTAGCTGCCTGCTCAACTAATTTGAGTCACAGAACTGTAACTCTGTTTATTGTATTGGTGTTTTTGGGGCCTGCTCTAAGATTACTTGTACAAATAGGCTGTGCAATTTTTTTTGCCCCATTAGGTGAACAAAATTCAATTATTTTATTTGTATGTAAGCACCAACTAGCAGCTGGCCGTGTTTGCACATTCAAACTGTGCTCTTTACTTATGTAGCTAGCTAACCAAGCTAGCTAGCATTAGCTGATAACTTTGTGCTTCACCCTCTCCTCAAATAAGCTAATAAGCTAACAAGCGTCTGTGTCCAAAAAAACAAAAGGGCAGTGACCAAAATCTTAGGGCTGAGGTTTCAGCTGAGACTCCAGCCGTGGGTGAGGTCAGTAAGTTATAAAAAGAAAAATGTAGCAGTAGCAGTGAGTAGTTTGTAAGTGTTTGCTGCCAAGATGCTGTCATCTATGTAAACTATGGGTGACTGTGGTAAACTGCTAGCAACCAAAGCAATAACAAGGAGGTTTTTGTGCAGCAATGAATACGTCTTTGTGACCTTGTAACTGCTCATTATGATCAAGACATCAAGTGGTTAAAGGTTAATAATGGATGCATGTAAATAACTTTGGCATACTCCAAGACAGATAAACATTCAGCATGTGTGAGAGGCCCGATGACAAATTTTTTGTTGCTTCACTCTACAGCTAATTTCAAATCTCACTGTTGGAAGGAGAAAAGGGGGCTGACACGTGACAAAGATGTCATGGTTACTGAGCCACTGGGATGCTTTAATCACATCTTATTCACACCCGATAAACGTGGCATCATGAAGTCTTACAACTGGTGAAATTATCATTGATCTTAAGTGCATTTGAAGCATAATTTTTAGCCCTTCCACTCTTCAGCTATGCCTGGGGGCCTATCACTCCCATTCTCTCTCATCCCAACTCAATGTCATGCTTTGTCTACCTATTCCATGTGCCCATTTCACACTAATTCAACCCAGAAATGATCTTCACACAGGGCTCAGCTGGGACCTCACAGCTGCTATTTGATAGATGAGAGAAAGGGAGGCAGAGGAAGGAGAGAAGGATGAAGGAAGAGAAAGAAAAGAAGAACAGATAGGGAGGGAGATTAGATATACTGAAATCCAAGCCAGCAATCTGAGGATAAGAAGTGAGATGTTGTCATCAAACAACAAGCACAGCACACACATATCAGTACACTCTCAGGTGTATCTGGAGGACAAACAGGTAGATTCAGTAGTGCATTATTTTGGATCAGACCCCAGAACCAGCTCCACTTCCTGATGTTGTCTTACAGAGCCTGCAAGTGGAGCAGGCCTAACTAATCCATCAACGATAGATGGCTCTGGCGTCAATTATTAATGGTAAGCTGATGCTACTATCCCCATGTCCCTTATTTCTCTCTCTCTCTAAATTCTTCATCCTTTACAACTGCATTTCACTCCAATTATTTTTTCGGCTTATCTGTTACTGAGCTCTGCACGCCTGATCATGTATACGGTATGTGTGCTTTTATGTGTCTGTGGACCTGAAAAGTTTGTGAAAATTTGGACTGTCATCTCCTTTTCACATTCAGGGCAGAGCGGGCCCCTTGTGCCCGAGGAAACGTGATGAGAGGTTTGATAACAGATCTGTATGACACATTAAAACATGCACACTTGTAAACTATATACAAGGAAAAGCACAAACACACACTTGCTTCAGTGTTTGATGCTGGTTAAGAATTTATCTGATTCACTCACCTTCCACTGAAACCCTACAAAAAAAGCAATATGACCTGTCACAATGGCATAGCTTGCTAAATAGAGCATATTTACTCTGTCTTTGATTTTTCTTTCCAGTAGCATATAGAGGTTGACTCAGGCTGAGGTTAACAGGTTAGATTAACTGGTTAGAGCGGGATTCGGTGGGGGACAAGTTTTGGCCGCAGGTATGAGGAAGCTTGGGTTTCTGAAAGCAGACTCCCCTCCCACCCTTGCCTTCCAGGAACAGGGGCCAACTTCATCAATAATTCAACACACCTCATCTCACCACTCGCCGCAGTAGGATGGTATGGTAGTGAGTGGGCGAGTGTCTCAAAGAAAGATAAAGCTTTTGTTTGTGCGGGACAAGTGTAGGAAGGGGAAGGAGAGAACAGATACAAAGTATGCTGCAAAAAGTATCCTTGCATGCATGCATGTGATGTGCTACATATATGTGTTTAGGGTTTAACCATTTTCTTCCTTTCCCTTTAACCAATCAGTTTTCAATGCTTTGGTTCCTGCTTGCAGCCCCCACTGCTAACCAGGAACAATGAGTGGTGGGGAGATTCAATTACAGCACCCAGGCCTGAAGTAACTCAACCCTGCAGACAAGAATCTGCAGCCTGTGGATGGCTGTCATGACCAAGTATGCTGACAAGGACTGGGGGGTGTATGCTAATCTGCCCCAAATCCAGTTTCAAATCAGACCAGCAAGCCCTTTGGACCATCAGCAATTGAAACTCTGTGCAAGTCCCTCCTAATGCAAGTGCATTTGTAGTCACATGTAATGTAACCCTCACAATTATAGTTTTTGTAGTTTTTCTGCTGCGCTAAACAAAGCCTAATGTCGACGTCAATGAGGAGCAGGTGTAATCCATCAGTACAGTAGTGTGGTGTCGTGCCTGCGCGCTGATCAAATAACTCCCCTCCAACAGCCCGATCACAAGACTGAAGAGTAAATACATAATACAGTATCAACAGAGCATTACTCTGCAGTATATTGGTTACAGGCAGCTGTTTCAGTAAGCTCAAGGGGTAAAAGCGTGTTAACAACATTGCCCAACAAAGCCAGAAGGTACATTTGAGAAGGATTGAGAAGGGATTTTCGAAAAGAGCTCTATTTGTAATAGATTATTTAGTGAAAGAAAATGAAAACAAAGGGCCCTTTTTCTGAACATTTCACAATGAGGTATCTGATATTTTAGGAGTATGGAACCATCTTTTTTATTCTTAATACATAAAAAGTGATTGCAAGTTGTTCTTGAGAAGTCTGCTTCTGTTATTCTCCTTGAAATGTATGCACATTAAGTCTGTTATTTAAATAAAATAACTTATTAGTTTAGGCTCGATACTGATGTAGGCCAGCGGCCATGAACACAAATGACGTGCTTGTCTCAGGTCTCAACGATGGGGCTGATAGTCTCCCATATCAGCCCCAGCAATCTTGTTTTCTTTGAGACATGCAGCCACGTACTGTGTTGTTGATGCAACTTGATGTGCAGACTACATTACCCATAATTACCATGCATCCCTTATCGGCTGTCAATTTCTCCTTCATTATGTATGCACATAGGTCTGTGTCTGTCAGCAAAAGCTTGTGTGACCACTCTCGATGGCACCTAAGGTCAGCCTTTGTCCATTTAATCAGACATGTGGGATTCTTTAGGGTACTAGCAAGCTGCCAGGGGAGCAATTTGTGTGTGTGTGTATTGCAAGGATTTAGGATAAAATCTAATTCGCTAGAATATCCTGTCCCTCTGATATTTCTGTGTTTTCCTACCTTGTCTTATGGAGACATATCGCCCATTGGCTGCTGTCAGAACTACTTGAGGGTGACTCTCCTCCAGGTCAAATAGTTCATCTTTGCCTGGTTTCGAACATCGTCCGGACCTCAGGGTCCCTGTAGGACCCATGGGAGACAAATACTTCCCCTCACAGTCTTTGAAGGCCAGCTTCCCACACTTCAGCTCCAACGTGTACGCTGTGGCCCTCCCGCTCTCCATTAGGAGCTTTCCATCATTGCCGAGGAACCGGCTGTCACAGGTCTTTAGGCAATACTTTCCTTCCTGGTAGACAAGGGTCAGGAGCGCTGCCACACCCCAGGGAATGTTCAGATGCACAGCAATTTCCCCATCCTCCATAGAGAGGTGGGCATAACGCTTACGGGCCACAGACAGCAGGTTAGCCTGGGGATGCAGAGCCAGGTGCACTGCCCACAGCTCTGCATCTGTGATCACCTGGGCAAAGCAGGACAGGTAGTCCCGAGAGCCGCCGAAGAAGCGGAGGTACTGCTCAGACTGCAGCGCCCAGCGGCCATCTGACTGAGCCACGATGAGGAAGCGACAGTCTGAATTGTGGCCATCTGCCTCACAGGTGACTTTGCCGTCCTTGTTGGAGGCCAGGTAGCGTCCCAGGTGACTGCGTAAATAGACCACCTGGCTGTCCTGGGAGTCCTGCTCTAAAGTCCATATCTGCTTTTTCTTCAGACTGGGAGCTGACGCATTCACCTAAGAAGCACGAAAAGGTATCACTTGAAAATCTTGCATATACTGATCCAACAGCAAAGCATCACCAGCAGAAATGCAAATCGACACCTTATAGTTTGTCACTCTTATTGTATTTTTATACCTTAAAGCCAAAGGACTCAGCAGTAAGGTAGCGACCCTCGTGATTGATCAGACCAAACTGCAGCTTCAAAGGACGGTTCCCATTTGTGGGCATTTTCACCTGTGGAATTGGAAGAGCAAGAAGAGAGAAGAGTGGAAAGGGAGAAACAAGTTAGCGATGAAGGGGGAAGAAACTTAATTTGAGGTAAAACTGAACACAGAAATAATGGAGGACTAGTGGGTTTTAAAAGTGGAATGGTAGGTGGTGATGTCACGAGGATGATGAAATATAAAAGTTGCAAAGGCAGGAAATCAATTCATTAAGGTACAGTATATAAAGCACTTCCAAGACCACAAATTCCTTCCCCCGCCCATGGCGTCATTACACATTTTTCCAGCCACAGCCTCCTAATTTACTTACTGTGGTTTTGTGGCTTTCCCTCTGCAGTTCCTACGGCTCTAATTCCAGCTCCCAGATTTAAGAGGCTTCTTTCACCGAGCGTCCTCTTGTAATTCTTTTTCTTTTTGCTCTTGCCGGCTCTCACATTCGGTTGATCGGGTCTCCCGGCTCGCCTCCACTGCCGCTACTATTCTCCCTAATCAGGTTAGAGGCAGCAAAGACTTGAGTCAACCTTGATCTCTCTTCAGTCCGGTGTCAACCCCTCTTTCTCTGTAGACTAATTTTGCTGTGGACTGCTTATCTCTGCTTCTGCAGCCTACCCTCGCCCTCTCTCTCTTGTGCTGAACAGTGCTCTCTTGTCCGGCTTAACTCTTGTTCTTGCATGACTTGTTATTCACCCTGAAGGCTCAATCACTTGTTCCCCCCTCTTACTAAACTTCTCTGGGGTTTTGCATTTGCTCCTCCTTTGGCTGCTTTGCCAACTATCTTTAGATCAGTCACATCAAGTACTCTGACCTTCTTCTTCTTCACCTTCCTCGAAGTCTGGGGTTCCTTTTCTTTCTTTTCGTCAAAAAAAAAAAAAAATCAGGCACAGGTTTGATCAGCGAAGGATAACATCCTCCACAGTCATACTAATTTTATGGTAGAGGATTGAAGAAGTCCTTCACTCTTTCCCTAAACTTAAGCGGTCCATCGCAACTGAACTCAGCAACAAAAGGTGCTCGACTCTGTAATCTTAAGCCTCTCTCTGTCGCTTTTTCCTCCCATCCTCTCCTTCTCTCTCACCGCCTTTCTCTAACCTGCCATGTGTGTAATCCTGCCTTTCTCTGCCTCTGCACCTTATTCCGAGCTCAGCACTTCACCTTTTTCTGTGACGCATAAAGAGGAGCAAGTAGAAACAATGCAAACAAAATATACACACACACAGCCCCGTGTAACCAGAGCACTCCCTGTGCCTTTGGAGTAGTTGCCTGAGTGCAGCTCTCCTTACCTGGCCGTGCTCGGCTTTAGTTACACTCCTTCTCTGATTGCAAGCTCTCTGGGTCAGTCCTTGTGGGAACTATGTCTGAGAGGCAGGGGGAGTCGGACTTTACAACTGAATTTAGGAAAGGAGATGGCGGGCATTAGAAAGGCAACAATAACAAGCTAATCAACATATGGGGTTTTGAATGAATGTGTTTGTGTGTGTGTGGCATAAGCACCTGCAATTGTGTGTGTGTGTGCAATCAAGCTTGCCAATCAGCCTATTGTAAGTCTTCCTTGCGGAGTAAACAGACGTGTCTGTTCCCGAATCCATCTAATCCTCAACCCAATCATCCCAACCTGGCTAATCTACTGACACAACCCCTCCCCAGTCCCTTAACCCCCCTCCACACACACACACACACACGCACGCACACTGCCCATTCTGCTTGTCAGTGCCTTTAAACGCACACATAGGTGCAATGACCCACAGCAACATACATGTCATCACTGCACACACAAACACATACACACAAAGGTCAGAGGAGGGTCTCAGGGTTCATAGTAAACACCACCCACCTAAAGATTTACTCTTCCTGACCCAGACTTGAACTACACTAAATGTAATGAACAATGCGCACTGCACACAAAATCACACGCTTGCAAACACACATGCTCTGAAGGACGCGGGTGGTGCAATTTTTCCCTTAAGCCTTTCTGGTGGTGACACAATGCAAAGCAGAAGCAAACATCTTAGAAAGAAATTAAAATAAGACTAATTTTTAGAATAATAAACAACTAAGCAAAAAACGAATTTACTATTTACTTTCACATCCACATTATACCACACACAGAGCTCTGTTGCTTAACCTATGGAGGACATCCCTTTTTTTGCACACAGTCCGATATAAACCCGCCAAAATCATTTTCAGTATTTGAGAGTTTTTTTGATTCAACAACTGAGACATTAAGGTGAAAAGCAATAGCAGAGAAAATAAGTTTGCAGTTCATTCTACAAATTCTATCTGGGCGCAAGCAATTGAAAATTTGATGGCGTCTTCTTAAACACACTCAATGATGTGGATAAAAATCACTTCTTAGAAATGTTCACCCTGCTCTTCATTGGATCTCTTGCTGCTAAAAAGCCTGCTGCAGCGTGCATGCACGTGCGTACATGTAATATTTTAATAAGAACAGAAAAATAACAGATATAACACACTTCCATCGTTAAAAATCATCATCAGTCGACCTTTTGCCCTTCTTCATTTGTCTTCAGTTCTGCCTAAAACGGGCAAACTGTACAAACACAGAGGCTGAGGGGGGAAGCGATGGGAGGGGGAGACAGACGTGCTGCTCACCAATCAAAAAAGCCATAAACTGTTATTGTTATCAGTGCTATTATTTTCATTACTATCACTATTATCACTAGTACTGTACTTCCTCCTCAGATGTATCCTATCCCACGCATCATTAGCTCACTCTCTGTGGCCCCTGGGGGCTGCGTCATCGTCTGCTGATGTGCCGCCGCTCCTGCTGCTGCTGTCGGCACGGTGATGCCTGTCCATAGCCCAACCAGATGTTTTTTTTTTCACCTCTTACTCTGGGACAGCGGCTGTGCCAGGTTCACCGTGGCAACCGTGGGATGGTGCTTTAGAAGCCATTACAGCGATCCTCTGATGACACTCAAATAGCTATCATTACACCTCCTCCAAGGAAACACAGTAAGGGAGGGAGGGCGGGAAAAGAGAGAGATGAAGCAGGGAAGGATGGAGGAGAGGAGCAAGGAGGGGAGGGAGTGGGAGAATCAGATGAAGAATAGGGGGGAGGAAGGGAGGAAACGAAAGGAAAGGAAAGGAAGGAAGGCAGCGGGAGGTGGGTTAAGGATATCGGGAAATTACACAGGCAGGCATGGATGGGAAGAGTTAAAGACATACAAGGTGAATGGAAAAGTGGAGGAGCAGGAAAGAAGTGCTGGAGAGAGAGAATGGGGAATTCAAAATGACCGTTTCTGAGTTAACAGCCTCCAGCCTTTTTCTACCCTATTAAGTTCTATTCTGCCATTACTTGGGACTGCAGGGTGCTGCTGCATACCCCACAGTGTCCCCCCTGCTCTTACCCCATCCTAACAGGCACACAGCCACAAATACACAGTCACCCTTTGGTCGGTTTCCTCCTGCAGTCATCTCCACTTTTTTTTAAAAAAATATCTATTTATCTGTTTATTTTTGTTTATCTCCAAGTCTTCCCCATTCTCCCCACTCTCGTGCTCAGTTCATTTCCAGAGGTTGTGAAGTGAATGAAAGAGAGATCAACTGGATCAGTCTTTAAGTCCACTGGTTGTCCTTGTTGTTTGTGCAAAGGCACACCAAAACAAGCTGTAAAGCTGCTGTTGCTGCTGTGCAACAACAGCATCAGCGACAACATACAGTTCTTTACTACTGTAAATCACCTGGCAGGAGGACCCAGTTTTCTATCAAATATTGGTGGGGTAGGGGGGTCTTTTACAGAGTTACCCACTTAAGAATAACTAAACGTACCTGCATTGCTTAGATTTAGATTTAACTCCTCCTCTGGCAGCTGAAAAAAATGAACTATTAAATCAGAATCTGTTTTTTGCAGCTGCCTGTTTTTCATGACAGGAACGCGGGAACAATAGGTGTAAATAACTCTTGAGAGGTCACTTCAACTTCAGAGACTGTAAAGGGAAAAAGGGCAGTTCTTTCAGTGCAAATGAACCAAATGTGCTCATTGTAGTTAATATGAAAGCTCAAGCGTCTTTATAGTAAAAATTTGCGCTCTCCATCCCATCTTGCGTCGTATCAGACTACCTGTGTCCACCTTTTTCTTCCCTGCTTCGCTTATCTTTACACACACTTCTGGGATGAGCAGTTCAGAAGGTCACGCAGTGGCTGAGTAGAAAGGTGGAAACCTTTGAAAACAATGTCAATATATGTCACATGTTGCAAATGAGTTTGCAATTTTTGTTACTTTTCCCTCATGTTTAAAATAAATGAATGATCATCCAATAATTCATTCAATAATTCATTCAATTAGCAGCTGTGATAAGGCCTTTTTGATGGCTTGCATAATTAGACAGTTGTATCATCATGCACACACACTGACTCTTGACACACACTGCATGCTCGAAATTTTAATTCCCAAAGCCACCGCGGAGGGGCGGTGTCAGCCTTCTACTTCGGCTCCTCCACAGGATCCTTGCCTATGTATTTTTTGGAGGCTACGAAGACAAAAAAAAACCGAAAGAGAAGATTGATGCTTGGTTTGTCAGTGTTGGTGCCTGTATGACTGCATGGGGTAGGAGGCAATGAAGTTCTTTAAAAAATGCTTTTAATGTGTCTTGCTTTATGGGGGGCGGTGGTAGTGGTCGGACGAGACTTTATAGAAACTGAAAGGCGTCAACACGTCAAACCTTATCAACTGCAAAACACCAGCGCAATTAAAATGAAAGGGGGCGGGGAGTTGGGGGGTATTTCCCCAGTTTCGGTGATTTCGAGTCGTCACCGTACCTGAGCCCCTTTGCTGCGCCCGTATAACCACGCTTGTACGTGGCATTATAAGTGCAGGTTTGACCCTCGGTTTTAGTGCCTGGATGTGTGAATGTGGGTTATACCTCACTGCTAAGCATGCACTTCTCATGTGCTTTTAATCTCATTGGTTTTCTTGCATGCTGATTTGATTATGATCAGGCCAACACACGCTTGAAAGGGTTCAGCGCTGCTCCGGGCAGCCCCATGTGCTCTACTGTAGTATAGTATATTACCCTCGCTTTTCTTTTAAATGTGTCTGAAACGAGGCTTTGAAACAGTCCGGATTAACTGATGTATTGCGTTTCTAAAAACAAACCGCCTCTGAATCATTCATTAATTCACATTTGGCTATTACAGTGCGGGTTTGTGTTTTATGGGCAGAGTAGCTCCTTCCTGTGTGGTAGGAAAGAGTTAATAACGATGGGCTAAACGTGATGAGTGAGGGGACTCTGTGAAAAGCAGCGGGCCAATCCGCGTCAAGATTAACACCTTGTGGCGCCGTGATTGGACTAAAGCTCGCTCGTTGTCGTATGGAACTCAACACCCACGTGGGGGCACGGACCCTCAGTCGAGCTTTCACTGGCTGAGACCCCGTATTTAAGACCCGCCTATCAACGATCTCTCCGTGTTATTGGCCAATCTTCAGCATTCAACCACTCCCCCTTCCTCCCCTCCCCCTCTCTGTCTTGTTTTTCTATCCGAGAGGAAAGGAAATATCCCTCTCGCGAGCTCCGTGGGCTCGCGCGGGCAACCGCGCGGCCGCTTGCGCCATCGCTTCACATCTATCAGGAGGCGCGCGAACTCAGAACAGACATTTCGCTCCGGTCCTCTTCTTTCTTAACGGCTCGAAATTGCGACATAAACCATGGTTCTCTGATATGTTATTTAACTGTATGTCGACATGTGGGTGAAGAGTCAGTCCGCG